TATTTTATACCTAAAATGTACCAATAAAGTTAATGGGGGGGGGAGTAAAAAGAAAAAAAAATATTGATGTGAGATAAGACAAAGACTGAGGAACTGTTACAGTTTTAAAGAAACATGACAATTAAATGCACATATAATCCACATTTGATCTCAGATTGGGAAATAATTGGTATAAAGGATGACATAGGTCATCTATAAAATTTGTACATGAAATTTTGTCAACTTCAATTTCTTGAATTTAATAATTATACTGAGACTAAGAGAATGTCTTTGTTTCTGAGAGTGAAGTCATCATTCTTGTAATCTGTACTCAAAATGTTCAACAACCAAATGTCTACTTGGCTCTGCCCACCTTCTTGCTTGAAGGTATACTTTTTTCTATATCTGCTTAACAATAAACTCTGCCTATCCTTCTGAAAAAAAAATAATAGAAACATAATATGCACAGTATATGAAATATAAAGAAAGATAAAGCAAACTTGAGAAAATTAATAATGGCTGAATCTCAGTGAAAAGTTTATAGTTCTTATGACTTTTCTAAAGATTTAAAATGTTTTTAAAAATGAAATTTTAATTGAAAGTTCCCTAGAATGAGTGAAGGAAAAAGGCTAAAGTTCAGAAGAAGTTGGGAAGGAGAGCTATACATTTTCAAAAGTATACTTCAGAAACAAAACAGCCAGATGTGGTGAAACACCTGTAATCCCAGCATTTGGGAGGATGAGGCAGGAGGATAAAAAGTTAGAGTTCTGCCTGGACAACTTAATAAGACTCTATTTCAAAATTTTAAAATTTTAAATAAGATAAAAAGGGCAAGGGATTTTAACTTAGTGCAAAGGCCCTGGGTTTAACCCCCAGTACTGGAGAGAAAAGCAAAGAGACAATCAAAAGAAAATAAAAAGCAGGGATATCACTGATGAGGTGGAAGCAGCTATCATAAGTAGAAAGAATGCTGTACTTGGATTCAGAAGGTATGCTTTCCAGTTTTCTAAGAAAAATCTAAGCTGGGCATGGTGGGGCACACCTGTAATCCTAGCACTTGGAAGGCTGAACCAGGAGGATTGCTGAGAGTTCGAGGCCAGCCTGGGCTATATAGTGATTTCAAGAGCAGCCTGAATTATAGACCGAGATCCTTTCTCAAAAGAAAAATCTATGTGTCCTTGGTTTAGTTAACAAAATCTTTTGACTACAGTTTTTTTGTTGGCAAACTTGGTACATCAGTTACTTCACAAGGTAGTTGGGAAGATAAATGAAAGATAAAATGAAATTAAAGTGTACTAAGTCCCTCTGTAGTACTAAAAGTAGAATGTATAATGCAGCATCATTTTTTTTTTTTTTTTTTTTTTTTTTACTGGGGATCGGGTCTTTGGGTCTTTGCGCTTACGAGGCAGGCAGCAGGCGGCAGAACCACTGAGCTAAATCCCCGGCCGACAACATAAGTTTTTTAAACTATCACTACTTTCCCTCATTGCCCATAAAAGTCTTTCATGGAATCCATGTAGTAAGTAGGTTCTTTATTTTGCTGCGTGTGTTTTCACTTACATAAGCTCTGAAGACTCAAAAGTCTTGTCATTCACTCCAAGAACTACACACCCCAAATCATACAAACGACCTACCCATAGCTTTTCTCCTGGCTATGTTAGCCAGAGCCTTGCACATGCCGGGGAAGCACTCTACCACTGAGCTGTATCCTTAGCCCAGCACAAGCCCCTAGTTAGGTGCCCTCTTCTCCCTAGTCTTTTTAAACTAAGACCAGTTAGTATTTCCTACGTTGCCTACGTTGTTCCTCTTCTCTAGTTTCTCTCCCTTTTTAAATCTCCAAATTCTCAATCTCTTCCTTTCTCTTATGCGGGGCAATTTAATTTTTCCAAGCATTTATTTCCAAAAGAGGACTCCCCTCTAAAGCCTAGATTCACCCCGTTTTAGAAGACATAGGAAAATTATAGAAAACAAATCACTTTCTTTTTCTTTTATACATATGTCCTTCAGTTCTCTTCTAGTAATCTACTCTGTAGCCAATGAAAGATGCCCAGCGAACTGGGACCAAAAGCAGCCAGCAGCCAGTAAGTCCCACTCTCTCTCACTTCGGCCAGCCACTGGGTGGCCAGCCACTGGGCGCCTCGCCACTAGGCGCAGGCGCAGAAGGTCCCGGAAGGCTCCCCAATCCGGTATTTCCCCTCCCCGGAAGCTGTGGAGGCGGGAGAAGCACTGGCCAGGAACCAGAAAGACTAGGTTCTCCTGTGTAGGGGGACCCTTTGTTTTTCACTCCGTCTCGCTCCCTTGCACCCTGCGGGCCTTTAGGGACAGGCGTACGAGTGGAGGTCATGGCGCTGGCCTCGCGACTGTGGCGCTTTCTTTGCTTGGGACATGGGGCTCCGGGGCCTCGATTCCCCCTGAGGACTCCGGGCGGCCGTGGGCAGTGCGGGCTCCGGTCATTCCGCTGCTCCGAGGTAACCTCGCCGTCCTGGCTGCGCTCCCTCCCTGGCGAGTGGATTAGGCCGACCTCCCGCTCCCCGGGTTTTGCAGCCCGCGCCAGCTGCAGATGGCAGTGTGAACCCTGCGAGGGTCTCCGGGCCAGGGATGTCTGGAGCACTCCCAGGGATGCGAGGGACTGGAGAGCTTGGTTTAGAGAAGGAGTGTGTACGTCTCCCCGGAGGAGCAGCCTCCTGCCTGCCCTTCGGGTGTGAAAGTATGGAGAAAAGGAAGGAGAAGGACCTTTGTCCTCTATGAAATCTCACTTTCACCAATATCTGATTACAGCTCTTGAGCCTGTTACCTTAGTCTGCCAGACTTTTTAAGTTGGTGTGACTGAAATTTCTGACTCAGGAACAGATGTGCTGTTTGCTTTTGTATATTTCTTTTTTTAAAATAAATTTTATCCCATCCCCCCCCCCTTCAAGCCCCTTCCCTTTCCTATGTACAAAAGCTTTTTTCCCCTCATTTTTTCTATTTTCACTTTTTTTCTTGTCCCTCCTTTCCTTCTCCCACCCTCCTCCCTTCTTCCCCTTCCCATTTGAACACTTTCTTCCCAGTTCCCAACATCCATTATTTTTGTAATTATTTCTGAGTTGCTTGTTTTATCTCAGTGTTAAGGAAGAGTGTCCAGGATACTGGATTGCAGTCTCAGATCTGACATTTCTGTTAGACTGGTCGTGGACTACTGTTTCTTGAAAAGGGCTTGGGGGTAGGAATGGCATTCATGGCATATGCTGTGCTTTGAACTGTTTCATTATTTTAAACTCTAAAATCCCTTTAAACTGCCCATTTAAAACAAGACATTTATTATCTTGTGGTTTCTCTTGGTCAGGAATCCAGGTATGATTTAGCTTGGTTCGTCTAGCTGAACTCCTCTTGGAAGGGATATGATAAATCCAGCATACGTGCACATTTTTGCAAATTACTAGTATTTTGGAAGTATCACAGAGTCTTGAGTCTTTTTTTTTTTTTTGAGACAGTGTCTCGCTGTGTAGTTCAGACTGGCTTTGAACTCACTTTGTTTGTAGCCCAGGCAGTCCTACCTCAGGCTCCTGCATGCTGGGATTACAGGCATCAGCCACCACGACCAGGACCAGTTGTTTTGAGATGCCTAATAGAATTCATGTAAAGATAAACGTTGGATATGATTCTGAAGTTTAGAGGAGATATCCAGGATATAGATGCTGTGCTTTGGGCTTGTTGCTAGTATTTAAGACCATGAATGAAATGAGACCACAAATAGAAAAGAAGGAGACTTAAGCTCAGGACAGATGGGGGCCACGGATTGGAGATGAGGAGCTAACAAGAGAGGAACAGTCATTGAGGCAGGAGGAAATCCAGGACAGTTGTTATTTCAAAAGTGAACTGAAGGGTTTTAAAAGTAACAGAATATAGTTAAGTATTGGTGTTGCTGGTCACTTAAAGTTCCTCTCTATGCCAGTGACCAAGTCAAAGGTGACTTTGTTGAAAAGGAGAAAGAATTTACTAAAAGCTAGCTCCGAGGAGATGAAGGGGCCTCATTTGCCTCAGGTCACTATCTCACTCTGTGCAGATGTGCAAGTGTCTTGTAGAAGACAGGAGGGGAGTAGAAAGAGACAGTATACCTCTCCAGCCTAGTTGTATTGATTTCCAGCATCTTCAACTTGATTTCTCCCTTTCCTGTGGGAAAGAAAGTAGTCCCTGACTTCCTGCATCTTGCATATTCTGACTTTGTATTTGGGTTTAGGAGAAGGGAGTGTTAGTTTTGCCCTTGACAGGAGGAAGTTTGGAGAAGCCACTTAGCTCTAAGAGAAAAAAATCCTAACTTTCAAAGTTCAATTTTGCCATGCCACTTACACTGGAACACTGACAGAGAAAACCTTCGGGTAGATGGATATGTTTATTTTCATATATTAAACTGGATGCCATTCATGTGCAGTTTATTGTACGTAAATTATATCTTAATAAAGCTGTTTTAAAAAATTAAACATCCACTTATGGTTTTTAAGGAAAAAGTAATCAGCTGTCAGATGCTTTTGGTAGGTCAAATAAGATGAGAATTCAAAATTGACAACAGGAAATATAGTATGAGTAGTGAGCATCCTTAATCTGAAAATTTGAAATCCAGAGTACCTTAGAATCTGAAACTTACTGAGCACTGTAAGTGGAAAATTCTAAGCCTGACCTCATGTGACAGGTCACAGTCAAAACACAGGCACCCTAAAAATACTGTATAAAATTACCTGCAGGCTGTATGTGTAAAGTATACATGAAACATAAATGTATTTCATGCTCAGCCTTAGGTCCAATCCACAAGGTATCTCATTGTGCAAATATTCCACAGTCAAACATCTGAAACCCTTTTAGTCCAAAGCATTTTGGATAAGAGATACTCAACCTGTAGCAGCATCCTTGGTGTCATTAACTAGAATACTGTCTATGAAGTTATGAGGCTCAAAGAGTTACTTGTGTGGGTTCGAGAGAGAATGGGAAGAAGAGAGGAAGAAACAGTACAACTTTTTAAAAGAGTTTTGCTGAAAATTAAGAAATGAGACCATAGGACATGTGAAATCAAGAGGAAGTTTTTGGTTAAGAAGGAAATACAGCTTGTTTTTCAACAAAGAGAGCTTGTTTTTTATGTGATGGGACTAAAAGGAAACACGAGCTATGTTAAAGAGAAACGTGGGGAAAGGGGAAGAATTGCTGCTGGAGTGATATCATTGGGCTCAAGAATCTGGCCATGATTATAAAAAATTAATTTCCACATCTATTTGAATATGATCTCATTCACATTTGTTCATTTAAAAACAAGTCCATGGATGGCTTTGAAGATGTCTTCACTTAAAGTCATGAACATGTTTTGTGTGTAGTAATTATTCCATTTGCTGAAGTACTTCTTTGTCTCGTCTATTGATAAAATTGATATTTATCATGTTGTTAGATGAGCTACCACTTCTAGGTGGGGTCTTTTTCTGAAATACAGTCTTCCTATAAGGTTTGAAATAATTTTATTGATGAATTTGATGGAATAATTTTTGAAATTCCAGTATTTTTATGATTAGTAGCTTCAAAGGTGGGAGAAAGTGGTATAATTTTTGCTTGGAGTAGTAATCTCTTCAAATTTTCCAAATTTGATAACTGACCATATTATTTTCCATAGGTGATAGGAAATCCAGGAACTTTCAAAAGAGGCCTTTTGTTCTCAGCCTTGTCTTATGTGGGTTTTGAAACTTACCAAGTCATTTCTCAGGCTGCTGTAGTTCATGCCACAGCCAAAGGTAAGTGTAAACTAAACACCTGGAAGACTTAGTTAACTTTTATTTTTGAATAGATAATGAAACTGGCATTGTTATCGTACAGTTTATTTTTTGCTCCTCTTTACTCCAGCCTATATGTATATTTAATTTTTTTCTAGAAGCTAGATCTCCTTCAGTGGTACTATATTAATACTTTATATTTTTTGTTCAACCCTTGAGCTAATTTTTTTTGCACTTTTAATGTTGGCGGGATGCTGGGAAAGAATAAATCACGGAGACAATGTATGACCTACAAAGCATGAATTTTTGGACCTTTATGGCAAAAGTTTGCAAACCTCTGCTTTCTAGTGATTCTTTTATGTACTTTTCTTATTCCAAGGTGCTGTACTTTTCTTGATATAGTTAAGAAAAGGCCCTTCTACTTTGAGATAGTATTTTATTTATAGACAAAATGGAGTTTGGTACCAAATATCAGATAACTGGTTGAAAAGTAGAAAAATTCCATCATACTTTCATTTGGGATAATAATGATAAGTAAACATACATTAAGATTTACCAAATTTTTAAAAATTAAATAACTAGTATTGTAGAAAGAGCCAGAATTTCAGTGGAAGTTTTAATTTATGGATTAATCCCTTGTGTTTTTCATTGTCTTCATTTTTTAATCATAAAGGAGAAGGCAATTGGGGAAAAACATTTGATTTTGAAAAGATGTTCTTTTAAAGTTCTTATGGAAGAATAATTTGAGAACGTTACCTACAAATGACTAGTTACCTTTTTTTTTAAACATAATTGAGAACTTTTGTGCATCAAGGTGTTTTTAGTACCTCTGATGTAACAGTACTTGCTTTGTGGTTTCCATTTGCTCCAAAAAATATATACAATTATGTTTATTGTAGATAGAAATTATTCTTCTTCTTGTGAAACATATGCTAATTCTTCTCATTTTGACTGGTTTATATCTAGGTTCACTTATATGCTGCACAGAAATGAACTTCCTCTGCAGCATAAAAATAAATATGCACACAAAAATAATTCTATATTAGAATAATGCAGACTCCAAATTTGTTGGGTTTTTTTTGTTTTGTTTTGTTTTTTAGAAAATGATATTCACTTTGGAATTAGGTCTTTTAACTCTAAATTTAAACGTTTGTTTTAATTTATCTTGAGAAATGCTTTATTCTTTTTTTTTTTTTTTTTTTTGGTATCGGGGATCGAACTTGGGACCTTGTGCTTGCGAGGCAGGTGGCAGAACCACTGAGCTAAATCCCCAGCCCCCAGAAATGCTTTATTCTGTTAAATTACAGGATATGTTTGGAGATGATAAAGTTTAATTTTACTTAAAATAAATGAAACAAGTCCTCCTTGTTATCTTCATATACAAAAAAAATTCTAAATTATATGATATATAAATATACTATATTACATACTTTGTATTTTAAAGCCTGGATAGTACAACTTATTTAATATACTGTAAATAAAGAAATTGGAGCTAAGTGATTTGAGAGGTCATAGAAGAATGCGTACAAAAATATTTAACTTATTCACTAAATTTCTATAAGTTTTATTTATTTATTTATTTTTTGGTACCGGGGATCGAACTTGGGTCCTTGCGCTTGTGCAGCAGGCGGTGAAACCACTGAGCTAAATCCCTGGCCCATCCATAAGTTTTAAAGATTACATGGATGATGAAATGTAGAATTCCTGTTAAATGTAGTTATCACTTTTCAGGGAGTTGGAGAATAATCAGTGAATGAAAGTAACTGCCAACTGCTACTTATACTTGCTATGTACACTTTCAAATATGCCAGGCCAGTATATTTAATACTGTTAAATCAGTTTTTTTAGTTTGTTTTTTGTCATTGCTGTAACAAACTCAGTGATTAAATGCAGATTTTTTAATCTACTCTTTCTGTAGTTCAGAAGTCCAAAATGGTTCTTACTGGGTTAAAATCAAGATGTTGGAAAGGGTTGTGTTGTTTTCCAGAGGCCCTAGGGGAGAATCGTCTTCCCTTTTCAGCTTTTACAAGTTCTACCCATTCCTTCCTTCATGTTCAAGGCCAATAATCTCATTCTGATTTTGTTTTTATTATCAAATCTCCCTCTCTGATTCTTCTGCCTCCCTCTTCCACTTTTAATTACCCTTGTAATTATATTGGGCCATGCTGGATAATCCAAGGTAATTTCCTATTTTAAGACCGTAAGATCCAAATCATTACAGTAATAGTTGAAATTTGCTAAAATTCAAATTTACTGTTTGATCATTAAGTAGGCAGTCTTTTACAACATTACATCATCAATAAGGTTTATTTATTTATTTTATGGTCACATATAAAGTAGCTATAAAAATTGGTTGGAACACGGTGCCAAGGTGGTAAGTATTTAACTTCATTTTAGTTTCTGATAACAGATTTGATTATTTTTTCCCTAACAATGTCTATATGTGTAAATTAGGTTATAAGAGAATTTAGTAGAACTGTGTGGTTCAGTCTATGCAAATTAATAATATTCAGTGCTACAAGTGGAAAAGTTTGATCCTTTTCTACAGTGGATGATACAGTAGCAACAAAAAGATTACAGAGGTATGTGTGCCATAAATTCTTCCACATGAAATTTTTTTTTTCATTTTTAAAAAAAATCTACATATACTGTCAGAGTGAATTATCCAAATTTTATTTTCCATGGTTTCAGTAAATCATTTATTGTAATAATTTCATATTTATTTCTACCATACTTCATCTAGATTCTTCAGAACTTTTTATCTTTTCTCGTGGGTAGTTCTATATCTGATTTTGCTAGCTTTAATACAAAAGTGTTTATATTTCCTAAAATTATTGCCATCTGACTTGGAAAGACCTACTTATATCTTTTTTTCTTTTATAATTTTAAAAGTTGAAGAGATCCTTGAACAAGCAGACTACCTGTATGAAAGTGGAGAAACAGAAAAACTTTATGAGTTGCTAACTCAGTACAAGGAAAGGTAGGCAGTGTGTGATAGGCCCAGCCTTAGATTTCCTTCACATTTTCCATTTTGCTTTGGAATATATATTTGCCTCATCTGTCTAAAAGGTGTGATTAAAAAATACAGTGAATATATAAATTGAAAAAAATTTATTACAATAAAAGACATATTGCCATTAATCCCTCTCAAAATACTGCCCCTGACTTTAAACATACTTATTTTTCATTCTTGCCACTTTCTGGAAGTCCTCTTTTGAGGCTTTAGTTGTGCTGTCATGTCTGCCTCAATGTCTTCACTGATTTGATGTCTTGCATTCAAAATATTTCTTTCACGTTCCGTTTGATTTTGGTGAAGAGCCAGAAGTCACACAGTGCCAGACCCCATGAATGAAATAGATAAGGACAGACCGTCATGTCTCCAAGCCTGCCTTTCTGTTGGATGGCACTCTGCAGCAGCAGTCACTGTATTTTTTATTGTTTCTTGTAAAGACAGGAAAGAGAAATTCCAGAACTGTTTCTTAAAGTGGCAGGAATGAAGGGATGAGTGAGGGGGAGTAGTTTAAGAGGAGTTAATGACAAAGTGTCTTTTACTGTAACATTCACCATATATTTTGTTCACATTTTGTGTATTGTGTATTTCTCTCTTTTTTTGTGTATTTTCTTCTCTCTCTAAAGTGATTCCTTATTGGTTCATATGTGATTTAAATGAATTCATCAGAATTTGGGATAATTGTATGTCACCATTGAAAGATAACTATTTAGAGGTAAAGTTTTTCAGAAAAACGAAGAATGCTTCCTTTTAAAATTTTTCCTACTAGACTACCTGTTTAGTGTAGAGCGTCAGGTGTGCTCATTTCTTTGGGGGTTAGAGATAGAGGAAGGCTTAACCTTGTAAGTCAAGTAAGACAAAACGGAATTTCCGTATAATTTACTAATCCAGGTTACTAATCTAAATTCTAAGTCATGTTCACCTATCTTTCTTTGATTCCCCAAACCAGCTTTCTCCCCAAGATCCATCAGTTTTACTCCTTAAGTATCTATAGGATCAACCTTTTCTTCTCCATTCCACCTTCAGGAGCCTGAGGTGGCTGTTTTGGCATTTTCATTTTAGTGATAACTTGGAAAGTATGCTCTAAGATAGCTAGCTTATATTTACTGAATAATAAATATACTATTCCTAACTTCCCTTGAACTTACTATGTATCCCAGGCTGGTGGTCCTCTTTCCTCAGCCTTCTGAGTGCTAGTATCACAGGCATGTACCAGCCACTATGGGTTAGTTTTAAAATTTTATGTGACTACTACTTATTGTTAAAAAAAATAGGCTTAAAGATGAACTTTAGTTTTCTTCTTTTTTGGATTTTGAGACAGTGTCTCACTCTGTAGTTTAGGGTGACCTTGAACACACTACATAACCCAGGTTGGCCTTGAACTCATGGTGCTTTTCCTGCCTCAGCCTCCTAAGTTCTGGGATTACAGGCATGAGCCACCATGCCTGGCAGACATGGACATTTAATAAAAAATAATCAGAAGCTGGTTTGTTAAAATATTTTTGTCAGTTGTTACTGATTTAGTAACCATTTCTTGTTTTATATCACTAAGTCGTTCTTCAAGTAGTCCATTACTCTTACTTGAAATAAGCCATGCATTATGTTATGCCATTCAAACATAGGATTTATTTTGAGATGATATTCAATCACTCATCTATTAACAAATACCTAATATACCAAATGCTGTATTTGAGGTTAGGGATTTGGTAGTTTTGTTTTTAGAGTATGACCCTGTTATAAAGTTTGTGTGTGTTATGCTTCTGTCTCAGTTGGCTAGTGAGTAGTGTGAAACACAGTTTTATTAAGGTCAAGCCTGGAGTCATGGTGAGTTTTATAGGGCTAATCTTTAGAGAATTTAAATGTAGGTATTTTCTAAGAAAGTCAGTATTTTAGGTATTATAGAAAAGCTAATATTTATGAAAAATATTGAATGTTTTTAGGAAGTTTTAGGAAATAAAGTTTTTTATGAAAGAAAATAATAAATTTAGCATTAATAATGGCTTTTGATACTGTTGCTTTTTGAGTCCTAAACAAGCTGAAAGACCATTCATTAGTGGTGTGACCATTAACAGTTTCTAAATGTGAGTGTAAATGGTGGCTCTATGTTTTATTTCAAATTAGTGAAGATGCACAGTTACTGTGGCGTTTGGCGCGGGCGTTGCGTGATAGGGCACAGCTTAGCAGGACTTCAGAAGAGGAGAAGAAGCTGCTTGTGTACGAAGCCCTTGAGTACGCAAAAAGAGCACTGCAAAGAGATGAGTCGAGCTTCGCTGCCCATAAGGTGAGGTGGTTACAGTCAGCTGTCGTCACGTGTGGAAAGGAACACTGGTCTATACTGGACTATTCTAGTTTTCATAGCAAAGGAAATTGTTATATTTTAAAGAAGTAGGAAAGACACTTACATTTATAACATTATCTTCAAAAAGTAGTTTTAGCTGGGCATGGTGGTGCATGCCTATAATGCCAGCACTCTGGGAATTTTGATAAATTATTTTTGTGGATGCTTATTTTAAAACAAAAGTGAGAGTTCATGAACTACCTATATCATTATTTCTAGTATAAGCCTTTGACAAATATTTTCTCTTTTTTTGATATATTATATTTCTGTTTTATGTCAGGGTAGGAATATAGCAGCTGGGCAGTTGCAATGCACTGTGCTTTTTTGCACATGTATCTCAGCTAGATTCTGGAAGTCCTGATTGGTTTAGGACACTGTTTTCAGTAGATAGTGTGGGAAGATGGGGGACATTATAGTGTTTTGGATGAGGACATGTTAGATTGTCCTCAGTAGAGCCTCTCAGTCATGGTGGCAGCCAGATTGCATCTCCACACATTTCCAGTGTTCCCTGTAGGAGTTAGTACTCTACCTTCCCCTACTGCATTAGAACTACTGCTAGTGGATTTAAAAGATAAAGCAGGTACAAATTCCTTTAAATTTATTGAGACATGTTTTGTGGTTAGAAACCATGGTCCATCGTTGTAAAAGTTCTTTTTGTGTGTGAAAAGAATGTGTATTCAGCTGTTGTTGGGAATGTGTTATAAATGTCACTTAGATCACATAGGTTGATAGTGTTTGAATCCTCCAAATTTTTACTGATTTTCTGTAAATTTTCTGTAGGGTATTGAAATTTCTAGGAATAATTGTAGATTTTATTTTTTCTTTGCAATTCTGTTCAGTTTTTAGCATGTTTTTAAACTAATTTTATTGATACATTTTTGACATACGTAATGATCACATTCATCATAAGAAATTTATACCTGTATGTAATATGTCTTAATTCTTTTTTTTATTCCCCTCTTTTTCCTTCATCCTTCTTCCCTTCTCCATTTATCAAACTGTTTTCTCTTGTTTTCCTTCCATTCTTTTTAATTTTTTAAACCCTATTTCCTTCTGTCCCTTTCCCCTCCCCTCTCCCTCGTTTCCTTTCCTATTTGAACATTTTCTTCCTACTTCTCAATATCTGTCCTCCAGTTGGGTCCTTATTTACCCTTTGGGTTTCTCACACGAGATAAACAATGCAATATTTAAATATGTGTTTGATTTATTTCACTTAAAATTATGTTCTCAAAGTGCATCCATTTACCTAAAAATGTCTCAAGTTTATCCTTCTTTATGGCAGAGTGGTACTTCATTGTGTATAAAAACCACATTGTCTTTATCCGCTCATCCGTTGATGGGCTTATGGGTTATTTCCAAGATTTAGCTATTACAAATTGTGCTGCTGTAAACATGGGTGTGGGAGTATCGCTGTTATGTGATGCTTTTAACTCTTTTGGGAGGATAACTAGAAGGGGAATAGCTAGGTCAAATGGAACCTGTAGTTTTAGTTTTTTGAACAGTCTCCATACTGATTTCCATAGTGGTTGTATCAATTGTATCACACTCCCACCAACACTGGAAAAGCTTCCTTTTTTCCCCACACCCTCACCAGCATTTGTTGTTTTTTTGTTTTTTGTTTTGGTTTTTTTTGGTACCAGGGATCAAAGTTGGGACCTTGCGCTTGCTAGGCAGGCGCCGAAACCACTGAGCTAAATCCCCGACCCACACCAGCATTTGTTATTGGTTGATTTCTTGTTAATAGCCATTCTTACTGGAGTGAGATGGATTTTCAGTGTTGTTTTAATTTGCATTTCTTGAATGACCAGTGATAGTGAACATTTTTTCATATATTTATTTGCTGTTTGTATTTCTTCTTCTGAGAAGCATCTTCATTTCATATGCCCGGTTTTGGATTGGGTCTTCAAATTTTGGGGGAGGGGTCTGATTTTTTTTAAGTTCTTTAGATATTCTAGATAATAGTCCTCTGTCTGAGGAACAGCTGGTAAAAATTTTTCCCCACACTGTAGGTTGTCTCTTCACTCTGTTGGTGGTTTCTTTTGCTGTGCAAAAACTTTAACATGATGCAGTCCCAGTTGTTGATTCTTTGTAATATTTCCCATGCAATCAGGGTTTTGTTCATAAAGTTTTTGCCTACACTTACATCTTTAAGAGTTTTACCTGTTCTATCTTCCAGCAGATTGTTTCTGTTTTAATATTTAAATCGTTGATCCATTTGAATTTTAGTTTAGTGCATGGTGAAAGATACAGGTGTTTCATCTTTGATATGTGGAAAGCCAGTTTTCCCAGCAACATTTATTGAAGAGGCTTTCTTCCATTGAAGGTGTTTGTGAGAGATAAGGTATCTGAGTGTATTTAGAGTTGTTTCTGCATCTTTATTCTGATCCATTGATCCTTGGGTCTGTTTTATTTTTGCCAGTACCATGCTGTTTTTATCACAGTAGCTTTGTAGTGTAATTTTAAGTCCAGGATTGTGATGCCCCCTGCCTTGCCTTTGTTGCTCAGAACTGCTTTTTTTTGTTCTGGGTCTCTTCTGGTTCCAAATGAATTTTAGGATTGTTTTCTCTAATTCTGTGAGGTATGATATTGGTATTTTTAGTGTGATTGCATTAAATATGTATAACAATTTTGGAAATATGGCCATTTTCACTATATTGATACTGCCTAACCAAGAACAAGGGATATCTTTCCATTTTCTGGTATCTTCTTTGATCTCCTTCTTTAGAGTACTGTAGTTTTCAATGTAAAAGTGTTTTACTTCTTTCATTAGGTTGATTTCTAAGTATTTCATTTTGTTGGATGCTATTGTGAAAGATGTGGTTTCCCTAATTTCTTTCTTGGTGAGTTTGTTATTTGTGTACAGAAATGCTGTTGTTTTTAAATGTTGAGTTTATGTCCAGCTGTGCTATTGAATTTTGTTATTAAATCTAGAAGTTTTTTGTTGGAGGTTTTGGGGGTCTTCTATGTAGGGTCCAATGTCATCAGCAAATAATGATAATTTAACTTCTTCCTTTCCTATCTTTATTTCTTTTATTTCTTTCTCTTATCTATTTGCTCCAGCTAATGTTTCCAGATCTATATTGAATAAGAGTAGTGATAGTGGACATCCTTGTCTTGTTCTTGATTTTAGAGTGAAAAGTTTCAGTATTTTACTGTTTAGTATTATGTTGGCTGTTGGTTTGTCATAATGGCTTTTATCAGATTGAGGACCATCTATTACAATTTTCTATAGGGTTTTTATCATGAATAGGTGTTGCACTTTGTCAAATGCTTTTAGTTTTGTTTTGTTTTTTTGGTACCGGGGATTGAACTTGGGACCTCGCACTTGGCAAGGCAGGCACTGGAACCACTGAGCTAAATCCCCAGCCCTCAAATGCTTTTTCTGCTGAGCTAATCATGTGATTTTTGTCCTTGGCTCTGTTGTTATGGTGTATTACATTTATTGATTTGCATATACTGAACCATCCTTGTATCCCTGGGATGAATCCTACTTGGTCACGGTGTATAAATTTACTTCTTTGTCATTATAAAGTAATCCTCTTCATCTCTACAAATATTCTCAGTTTTACAGTCTTTGAAATTAATGTAGCCATTCTTGCCTCTTTTGATTAATGTTGGCATGGTATATACTTTATGTCCTTTTTTTATGTGTGTTTTTCTTTTGTTATTGTTTTTTGTGTTTCTTTTTTTGTTATTGTGTTTTGAGACAAGATTTCACTTTTATTTTATTTATTTATTTATTATTTATTTTTTGGTACTGGGGATCGAACTTGGGTCCTTGCACTTGCGCAGCAGGCGGCGAAACCACTGAGCTAAATCCCGGCCCTAAGATTTCACTATTTTGAGACAAGATTTCACTATGTTGCATAGCCTCCTGAGTAGCTAGGACTACAAACTTATGTCTCTTTAACGTATACTCCTTGTAGGCAGGTCATAGGTCTTGCTTTCATTTTTATTTTCATTAATTTTATAGGATTTTTTTACTGAGATATACCTCCTATTTCATAAAATTTACTATTTTAAAGTATAAAATTCAATGTTTTAGTATATTCAGTAGTGTACAACCATTATCGGCATCTAATACCAGAACATTTATTGCCAGATAGCCTCGACTCTCCCCACCTCCTGTTCCATGGCAAGCACTAACCTACTTTTTGTCTTTATGAATTTGCCTTATATGTGGCCTTTTGTATCTGGCTTCTTTCGCATGATGTAGTATTTTTAAGATTTATCCTTGTTAAGCAAGTGACAGTGCTTCATTCTTTTTATGGCTAAATAAGGTTCTGTTGTATGGATGTATAGTTTTAAAAATGTGTTCGTCAGCTGATGGGCATTAGGTTGTTTCCATCTTTTGGCTACTGAAAATATGCCACTATAAATAATTCTATTCAAGTTTTTAGGTAAATTCTTGTTTTCAGTTTTTTAAAATTGAGCTTAAATTTACATACCATAAAATTAACCATTTTAAATTGTGCAATCCAGTAGCAATTAGGATATTTACAGTGTTGTGTAACTAGCACATCTAATTCCAAACCATTTTTATCATCTCTCACAAAAAAACCCTATTGCCATGAAACAGTCACAGATCATTCCCTCTTAGTACCAGCTGTTTACAACCACTAATCTGCTTTCTGTGCCTATAATTTTACCCATTCTGGATATTTCATATACGTAAGTGGAATCATACAATATGTGATCATTCATGTCTATCACCTTTAAGTTAACATTGTTTTTGAGGTCCACCTATATGTTTAGTACTAAATTCCTTTTTTAAATGAGGGAATAAAAGTCCATTGTGTGGATATACTATATTTTATTTATCCTTTCATTAGTTGATGGATATTACGTTTACCTCTATGTTTGGCTGTTGTTAATAGTGTAGCTATGAATTTCAATATCTGTTTTCAGTTCTTTTGAGTATATATCAGGGAGTAGAATTGGTGGTTCATATGATAATTCTATGTAATTCTTATTGAGGAACTGAAACTGTTCCCAGAGCAGTTGCGCTATTTTACATTGCCACTAGAAGCATTTGAGGATTCTGATTTCTGTATATCCTTACAAACACTTGCCATGCTTTTCATACTAGGCAAGTACTGTACCACCAAACTACATACATACCATGTAAGAGATGAATTTTATCTAGCGTACCGATATGGGGGAGGTTAGAGCTCCAATTTTGAAGCCCTGTGTGCATCTTATATTGGATTTGGGTAACTGGGAAATTGTCAGTGAAGACTTATGAGCATAGTCAAAAAAAGTGTGTATGTGTTTTAAAGTATACTTTTTTTTTTCATTGTAAACAAGTTTATTTAAACAAGACACTTGACTTAAAGGGAAAACTATCTAGGATTCTTTTTCTTTTAAAGAGTAATTTACTCCTACATAAAGACAGATTATCCTACATGTAACAGCTACATACAAAAAAGTTATAAAATTGTCCTTGGTTTTACAATGATAAATGAAAAACATTAAAATTCTCCAATCAAACAAGGTATGCAAGGATTTTTGTGTTGTTGTCTTTTCTGTTAAAACAGTGAGGGCAAAATAACTTACTGGAATATAAAGATAAGAGCTGATGAGCATGCCACTAATGGAGAGAGGGAATTATTTTCACAGAACCAGTATCTCCCCATCCCATTTCCATCTGATGTCAGTCAAAACATATTGTTGACCATTTATTTAAAAAAAAATGCAGTATGCTTGTGCACATACACCAGATACTTTATGTACAATAAAGGAGTGGGGAAGGGGTAAATGAAAGAATACAGAAAACTGTACTATAGTAGTCAGGATGTGGTGGAACCAAATTGCAGTTTTCTAATTGATAATGTATTCTTGGTCTGTAAGAACAGAGTTCTGGAGTAGAGTTGTTGCAGGTTCCCTTTTTAGTAGACACCTCTTGTCTGCTGCTGGAACACATCAATTGTATCTTCGTTCTCCATTTCCAGCTGTGCAGGTGTGTCTGTTTCATTGATTGGCTGTCCAAATCGGAATCTGATCTGCCTCATTGACAAACCCTGTCGTTCACAATAGGCTTTCATTAGTTTACTAAGTGGTGTATGCCTCTTAATCTTTAACTGCACCACAGAACCATCCTGCCCCACCACCTTCAAATTAATATGATGGTTGTTCTCAGTCTTGACTACTTCCTTGGGCTTTTCGTGGGCCATAGCGAGCACCTGAGTCTTCTCAGCTGCCACTTCACAAAAGAGGTACCAGGTCCGCACCAAACAAGCACACAAGCAGCTCCAGGAGCGGCAGAAGGAGGTGGCAGCGGTGGCCAAGGGAGAGGGTGCGTGCCTTAAAGTATACTTTTAAAAAATTCTAATAAACATATCAGGATATAAAAAAATTAGTGGAAAATACATTTAAATAGAAGGTATGTTAAGATCTTAATTAGCTCAAACAAAAAGGGAATGAGAGGATTAAAAGAAATTGTTGTATTTCACAGAACCCAAAGGCAGGGTTCTCTTGGGGCTCAGGAGAAACCGGCTTGATTGCTCTGAGGCTTCATTATCTCTCGTCTATGGTATTATTTACAAATCTGTGCTCACTTTCTTTTTTTCTGCCTTAACATAAGTTTTGTAATTTTTCCACAGCACTTGGGTTTATGAAGCTTGGATTTTTTTATTTGTTTGTTTGTTTTAGAGACAGGGACTCCCTATGTAGTTCAGGCTGCTCTTGAACTGACTATATAGCTCAGGCTGGCCTCAAACTCACAGCAATCCTCCTGCTTCAGCCTTCCAAGTGCTGGGATTACAGGCATGCGCCACCACACTCGGCAAGCTTGGATATTTTAGACTCAGTTCTTACAAGTTGTTTCATTTTGGATCTACTTTCTGCCTGTAGCTTTGAGGACAATGTCACAATTGACAGTTGTTGCTGTTCCCACTAGAACAGTGCTGGAAAAGAGGCTGATCACTGAAAAGAAGATGAGGAAATAGAAAGATATGCATTTACAAGATTTCCTAAATTTATACTCTGACTATAAACATGATCTGTTATTGTCTCATTGTGGTGGCAGTTTTCTTAAATTCACTACTTTCTGTGCTGTAGTGTAGTTATCTACAAAAATGTCATGTCCCTGAGTTCTAAGTGAGCCATGTCCACTTTTCTTTGTATATTCTACATTTAGCATTGTTTTTTTTTTTGGTGCCAGGGATCGAACTCGGGTCTTTGCGCTTGCGCAGCAGGCGGCAAAACCACTGAGCTAAATCCCTGGCCCCATTTAGCATTGTTTTTATGCTCAATAACTTTCGTTAAATGAGAATGACAGTTGAGGAATAAATAATTGTTTGATTTTTCTTTGCATTAAATCAGTTATTAAGAGTATTATTCTCACACCTTTTTCTCTCTGCTTGCAGTGGTATGCAATCTGCATTAGTGATGTTGGAGATTACGAGGGCATCAAGGTTAAAATTGCAAATGCCTACATTATCAAGGAGCATTTTGAGGTACTGATGAATTGTTCAAGTTTATGAATTTAAAAAATCAGTTACCTTTCTGAATAGGTTTCAGTTCCCAAGTCACCTGAGACTTAATGGCCTAAAGCTGGGCATGGTAGCCTGGGCCTGTAGTTCCAGTTCCTCGGGAACCTTAGGCATGAGGATCCCTTGAACCTAGGATTTCTGGATCAGTCTGGGCAAACATAGCCAGACCTTATCTCTTGGAAAACAATCTAAAGCAGTGTGTTACTTCTTTTAGTTTTGCTGAGTCCTGTGGAGCTTCTGCCCTGCTTGGTATAGCTAAGGTCATGTAGATGGCTGCATTATCCAGGCCCCCATTTGTGACTTGAATGTTCTCTCATCTACTAGTATTTCTGCCCACTTGTCTTGTTATCATGGTCTAACCGAAGCTTTTTTATTGCACAGTAGCTAGCTTTCAAGAGTGAGAGTTCTGAGGGGAAAGTTCCACTGCGTAAACTTTTATCAAACCTGTTTGCAGCACACTTTGTAACATTCTGTTGACAGTCAAGTGATAGCCAAGCCCAGTTTCTGTGGAAGGGGACTAGTCATAAAAGGTCCAGAATACCAACATGATCTAATGAAACATCTAACCCAATTGACATACCAGTAGAGTAGTGATAATTTTAGTTAAGATTGTGTTTTCTGTGTATTGTGTGTTTTAATATTCCACTCTAAAATTTACTCACTTAGAGCAGATTCTTCTTTAGCTGCCAAAAATTCTGTCGGAGTCTGTTATTTTTTCATAACACATGCACACTAGTCAGTCCTAAAAAAAATGAACACGAAAACCTGAGTATATCTATTTCTCTTGTTATTGTAGTTCATCTCAAAAATACAAAGGAGTACTGGCAGTGGAAGCACAGACAGGGACTACTGAAGGTGCTGTCCTGTGACCTTGAGACTTTATGGTCACAGTCTCAGTTCCCAGTTTATGCAGCTACGAGTGAAAAGCAGCAGTGGACTGGGAGTCAGGGCCTTGACTTCTTATTCCGGCATCAATAATAATGTATACAGCTAATTATCTGTGTTTTACAGTGTAATCATTGCATGTTCCATATTTTCAGATCTTTGAATTCAGACTGCAGTATGTAATCAGTAGTACCTTATAGTATAATTGGCAGCAGTGTTTTTTCTTTTTTAATGGCACATAAAATAATGGTATGATATACTGTTTTTGGTGTCTTAGGTTCAGGAAAATAATTTCCTTAGTAGCATAGCTAAATTACGTAATTACTCTGTGACTCAGGACAAAAAAATATACATGGTGGACAAATAATCTACCACTGAGCTACTTCACCAGTCTGTTTGTTTAAAAAACCTCAAGCACAGCAAGAATATAGAACTCATTAAAGTCAGCAAGTTAGAGGACAAATCACAGTGAGTTGTGATTTGAACTTGGGCAGTCTGGTTTCAGAATCCATGCTCTTAGCTGTTAAAAATATTTGAAATTGTGTATCTCACATATTACCAAACTAAAAGTGAAAATATGGGCTTACAGAAAAGCATAAACTGGGAAATTTAACTTAAAAAAAAAGCCTTCCTTTTCATTAGGATGAACATTAATCTGTGAGATTTCCTTAGTGATTTTTAATAAAATAGTGAATAAAAGATGCGATTTCTTTCTTTTTTTGTAGATTGCACCCAGGGTCTTGCACATGCTAGGCAAACATTCTTAGCACTGAGCTACAACCCCTAGTCCTTTTTATTATTTTGAGACAGGGTCAGGCTAAATTGCCCAGGCTGGCTGAGGAATAATTTCTTTTAAATTATTCTAGGGCTGGGGATTTAGCTCAGTGGTTTCTCCTCCTGCTGCACAAGCGCAAGGATCCAAGTTTGATCCCTGGTACCAAAAAAAAAAAAAAGGCCTACTCTTTTAAATTATTCTAACTGACATAGTAAACAAATTAGGGAGATTTATCAACTTATTATTGTTAATATTGTACAAAGTTATTCTGTTATGTCCTAAGAATAAATATTATTTTTCTGTTGGTAAGTACAGGTAGCGAAATTGAGCAAAGTCTACATATAGAAGAGATTTTTCAAAATTAAATACTTCCAATTCTTTTAGGAAAGAATGCTTTTCATTCAGTATTCATTTAGGATTTGCCAAAAAAGGATTTATTTTCCTTTAACTTAATAGATCCTACTATCAGTTTCTGAACCTTATAAAATAGTAACCTCAGTAGAGGTCATTAGTAAAGAATCAGGAGGAAGAAAGTTGGTATTGACAGTTATAGAAGAAATAAATTGCAGGGTTGCGGTTGTTTAGAAAATCATGACTTCTTTAGCAAACAGTAAAGTACATACTGGTGCTTAGAAAATGAATACGATTGATTTTCTCATTTCTTGATAGAAAGCAATTGAATTGAACCCTAAAGATGCCACCTCAATTCACCTTATGGGTATTTGGTAAGAAAATTTCTTTAAAATTTCAGTGCTATTTAGTATGATCTTACTTAATAGTATGTATAATGTAGTATACGTGAAAGCAAGATGTAAAATAAAACACTCAAGGGAGTTCAGGGTGTTAAATCCTTTCATTAACTAGCACTTATATGTGTCTTGTTAGAAGATACTAAATTTGTGATCATGTTAAACATTGTTATTCAAGTCATTTAGAAACATACACTTATAGTAAAAAGAACTTCAAACTTGTAGGCCTTTAAATTTCCTGTTTTGGGAAAGAATATCCTCCTTCACCAAAACCAGATTACTCTAACAATAAGACTCAAGAGAATCTTTTCACGTTCGAAGTTTGTTAAATACTGTCTCAGATAATCTGAGGAACAGTATAATCTTGTCTTTTTTTTTGCTGTGCTAAGAGTTAAACCCAGGGGGCTCACATGCTAGACACGCCCTTTAACTGAGCTACATCCCAGCTCTTCTTTTGATTCTCAGTTTGATCTTGCACCCACTGATGGATCATTGTTTTTCTGATATTAGTGTATACCAACGAGTTACATATTTACTGTCTCAAGAGTCTTGAGATAACTGGTTGGCCACTGCTTCCTTTGGGTATAGTCTGTAGAACTAAATATTTATTATCCAAAGGTATACTAGTGTAAACAGTCCTGTATCAAGCTTCTAAAAGAGAAGTAAATATTTTTCAGGATAAAGAACATATTTAACTGGCAAGGATTAATGATAATTGAGGGACAGTCACATAATTAGCAAACATTAGATACATTCTCTGCCTCAAGGAATTCAGACTGTAATCAAAGATCTCAAACTTTTCTCCTTTTATCAGAAAATTGCAAAGATTTTTTGAGGTAAATCATTTGCTTCACTCCTTTAGAAATGGACTCAAATTGTTAGTGGTTGTTATTCATGTATATCTTGTTTAACTTTGTCATTTTTCTTGGGTAAAATTTTTTAAACTTCTCTTGAGTTTTCCTTATGTAAAAAATAGACAGTAGTGGTCCTGAGTCATTTAGTTGTTATAAGGAATAGATGAGAGAGTTGATCATTTAGCCCAGCACTTAGTGATGGACGATGTAATATCGCTGCTTGTACTGTTCTATTTATATTCAGTCATGAAATAACACAGCTAATGGATCATGTCAAGCTGTAGATAATTCAGTGTGAATATTAAGTACTGGATAACATGCAAATAAAATACAAATTGTTCAAAGGTACAATAGAAGACTCCTTTTATAATATCTATTAAGATGTTTAGCTTCCTTAAGCAAAAAAAAGATGGTAATGAATGTGTAATGCTGTTTTATTTCTCTACAGGTGCTATACTTTTGCTGAAATGCCTTGGTATCAAAGAAGAATTGCTAAAGTGCTGTTTGCAACTCCTCCTAGTTCCACCTATGAGGAGGTAGTATGATGTCCTTTGTTAAGTTAGTACTGATTTCTTAACTACAGCACCATTCTATAATGTCCACACATATGGAGCTCTGATTCAGTGAGGGACTTGAGCAAGTTTTTAATGAGCCAATTCAACTATCATATCACAAAGACTTAATACTTATTTTCCATGACTGGTGAGTGCTTTTTAATTTTTCCTTTAGGTGAGTGGCTGATAATTGTTACACTGTCAGCTAAAATAGCTAATGGCTGAAATCTTAACTTCATTTTCTGTTTAAAATCTATACCATATAAAAGTCATAAGGTAGAACAAGAAATAACAACTGTTACACAGCGTGTTTTAAGGTTATTGTACATAATAAAAGTCATTTAGGAAAATGAAGTACATGTTTGAATTGATAAAAACTAATTATAACTTTTTATAAAGAATGACTATGAAAGGCTCATATTTTCTTACGGATTCAAGGTTGTTTTGCTTTTTCTGTTAAAAATAAAAATTGGAAGGATTTTCTAGGTAAACTTTTTTTTTTTTTTTGGTTCTAAGGATTGAACCCAGGGTCTTGTGCATGCTAAATAAGCATGAGCTTTACCACTGAGCAACACTCCCAGTCCCCTGGGTAAACATCTTGAGTTTACTTAATCACAGAATCATACAGTATAATTAAATAGGCAGTTGAAAAAGTTCTCCCAATATTTGTATCATAACAAGGAATTTGTTTTGTTTTCCCCTTGGGGAAAAAAACAATTCTAATGTAGAATGTGATATAAAGAATATTTAGAGGTATAGCCAGGTATGGTGGTACATCCCTGTAATCTCCACATTGGAGGAAGCTGAGGCAGGTGAATCTCAGGTTCAAGGTCAGCCTGAGTAGCTTAGCAATTTAGGGAGATCCTGTCCTACAAATAACAAGTAAAAAAGGCTGGGGATGTAGTGCAAAGATTCAATTACTAGTACTGGAGAGAAAAAAAGAATATGTAATTAGAGTACATGTTTTAAATAGCAACAAAATTATCACCACAACTAGTACACATATTCCACTGTATTTCTGTTCTTTGATGATTTAAAAGTGTTACACTTGGCTGTGTTAATCTCATTGTTGAAAAATTGATTAAGATGATATACTTATATTACATTTAATATAGGAATAGATCATTCAGAAAATGCTTTTTAAAGAAATATCACATCAACTTTAATTCTTTTCATATTGTTTGTGCTCTTTGTATTTGTAATAGGCCTTGGGCTACTTTCACAGAGCAGAACAAGGTAACTTTTTAATTTCACATATTAATATACTTAAAATTGTATAAATGCTGAATATATAGGATTTAAAAAAATAAGTCTCTTACACATTTTAAATTTTATAAAACAATTTTAAATTTTTTATTTAGTAAAGATCACCGGAATAGGCCCCTACTGAAATGAGATACACAATTCTGAAATCATCCTTAATTTAATGTAATTCAGTCTTCTTTTTGAGATTATTTGAAATTATTGTGAATTAGAGGCACCTCAGTGAAAACTGGTTTTAAACCAGTCTGGTTTTTGGTGTGTTGTAGAATATTGTCTTGTGTGATAAAGTGTTTAATGTTTTTCTTGTTTTTGAAAAAAATAGCCCTATAGAACTATCATCAGCCCATCCTAAAAACTTGCCCATTTTAATACTAATAATACTAATCTGGAAAGTAAGGGATATAAATATTTGTTACCAAATACACCATAAAACCACTACAGATAATTTCTCTAAAATCTAATTTTCGTGTAATTCAGAAGACTTAGTGTTTATTAGAGATCTTACATATATGGACCTATTCAAATGCTTTTATAACTAGTATTTTATTTTTTTAAAAGAAAGTTTTCTGAAGATTTATGTTTGAATGTTTAATCTCTAATTCATAAATTTGGTTAATTGCTGCCTTTGATACCTTTTTCTGATCACACATTTATATGATCACACATTTTATCATCTATATGACTGTAGGAATGAAATTTTCTCAGAGGGATTTTAAAGTATAATTACAAAGTAAAAATTGGACCTTACAGACTGAAGGGTCGGATCTGAGGAGAATATGGCCCTGCTTCATGGAGTTAAAATAACCCTTGGTAACTTCAGCCACCCTCCTTCCGTCATTTTCTCCAGGCACCCTTCCCTTGTGGCTCAGATCTGGTTCAGAAGCTCCTCGTGGCTCTTAGTGCCCCAAACTATAAACATGCATTTATATGTCTAAGGCTACAGATTCTAGGAAGATGGGGATTTTGTTTCTGGCTCACAGTCGTATCCTCATTCCCTCACATAATGCTTGGCAAATTTGCAGGATGACTGACTAAACATGAATGAATCAGTCAATATACTTAACCCTAAGGAAACCTAAGTAATTCAATATGTCATCACACAAATATATTTAAATCAGAGTTAAACAGTTCTGAATTAGAAGGAAATGAAGCTAGTCATACTTGTGTCCAGAAAAAAAGAATGTTTCTTTTTTTGAAGTAATGAGGCTTGAACTGACTTACATCCCAACCTTTTTCCATTGTATTTTGTAATTTTGAGCCCCGGGTGGGCCTGAACTTGCGATCTTTTCACCCCTCTCTCCCAGAGTGCTGGGGTTACAGGCGTGCACCACCATGCCTGGCTTGTTTTCTTTTTGGTGTTGCAGTTTGAACACAGGGCCTACCTCGCACATGGTAATTCAGCATGGTCATACCACTGAGCCATACCTCCAACCCCAGAAAGTGTGCCCTGAATATAGAGGGTTTCAGGTCTTTTAGGTGGTAATTGTGTGAATAGTTAATGAAGTTAGTGAGAACATACCTCCATGCTTTCATTCATAGGGTTGGAAAAATTTTCTTTCAGTGGACACATACTTGTATGTATTTATGGAGAACAGTGTGATAATTCTGTACATGTATACAATAATGATCAAATCTGGTTTATCACTATCTCCATATTGGGAAAGCTCTGAACTCTCTTGTTTACAAAATATATTAAAAACTTGGTATAAACTACAGTCACCCTACTGTGCTGTAGGTCATATTCCTCCCATCCATTTTGGTACCCCCATATCCAATCTGTCCTTTTCCCCTTCCTAGGCTCTGGTGACCATTGTCAGCTACTTACATCCATAGGCTTTTGTTCATGCTTTTTTCCTTCTGCCAAGAGTGTTCACGTTATTCTGTTAAAATCTTGTTCATCCTAGTGAGGCATTGTGGTACGTGCCCATATTCCCAGCCACTAGGGAGATTGAGGGCTGAGTCAGGAGTCCAAATTTGAGACTAACCTGAGAAACACAGCCAAAACCTGTCAGCGCCTTGCACTCATGATCTTCCTGCCTGAGCCTTTCAAATGCTGTGATTACAGGTGTGCACCACCACACCTGGCCCTGTCTCAAAATTCTTTTTAAAAGGCTGGGATGTATCCCACTGCTAGATCCTTGTCTTTCGTTCAAGAGGGTCAGGCTCAGTCCGAACACTGGAAAAAAATTTTTTATTCATCCTCCAAGTGAGCCCCAGTTATGATCTAACTTTTATTTGGCTTCTTGTAGCACTTTGAAGTTTGTACTTCTGGTAAACCATTTCTTCATTCATGTGTAACATTTAGTTGTGTTCATATTTCTCTCCTTTTCATTATAAGTTCCAAAAAGAGCAGAAACTTTGTTTCATTCTCTTAGTATCATTCAGCAAATGCTGATCAAATTTATATACTGTCATGATTTCATTTACTCTCTCAGCCAATACACTGAGTATCTGTTATGTTCTAGCCACTGTTCTAAGGATTTGGGATACAGTAACAGGGATTTCAAAAGAAAATTGATGTTCTTTTGTAGCTTATATTCAATCAGAAGCCTTAGCTTCTCAATAGAGATACCTACTTTATAAAATTGAGATGAAAAATGTGTGAAAGATAGTGCCTAATGTGGAGTAGATATTCAGTGCTAATTATTTTACAGACATTTGAGATAGGAACAGTTGAACAGAATTCTAGTAAGCCTAATCACTTATTAACCATAGAATTTTATTAGAATTTAGCTAAACTTGTAAAAATATTGGCAATACTGTTTCTCTTGAGCTAAATTTGTTTTTCCTTTTTATGTACAGTGGATCCAAACTTCTACAGTAAAAACTTGCTTCTTTTAGGAAAGACATATTTGAAGCTAAACAACAAAAAGCTTGCTGCTTTATGGCTAATGAAAGCCAAGGACTATCCAGCACATACAGAAGAAGATAAACAGGTAAAACATCTCCAGTGCAGTAAGACAGGCAGGTTTTCATTGAGGCACTATTAAAGGTGAATTAAGAACTTTTAAAAGTGTAATTGTCTAAATGCAAGTATTGCTGGAAACACAGTAAGTAGTGTTCATTTCAAATGTTGATATATTCACATTTATTTCTGCATAGGAAATGTTTAGTTATCACCACCAAATAAATATTAGGTTGCTTGCTGCAATACAGAATTACTCCTGTTTGCTATATATAGCACATCACATATGATTTCTAAAACATAAAAGTCAAGGCTCATATACTAAAGTTGAAGAGTTCTCTGAATCTCATCCAAAAAATGTTATTCTTACAATTGTATTCTCCTGTATTGGTTTTTGGAAACGTCTAAAAACTATAATCCGCTTTATAAGTGTACATTTCACAAGTTAATCTCTAAGCCATACTGTTTACTCATAAACTCTTTTTCTATTTTAGATACAGACAGAAGCTGCTCAGTTGCTTACAGGTTTGTGACAAGAACTGAAAACTTTTCAGAGAAGAAAATAACCCAACAAACTGCCTTTTCATGCAATTACAAATATAATACATTAACCAGACTGTTATGTGGCTTTTTTCTCAGTTCTTTTAACGTTGTAACCATTAAACTAAATATACAAAATTCTTGGTTTCTTCACAAAGAAGAAGGTAAAAGAAATAACTGCCATATTGTCCTAAGGGTGGTGCCTGTAAAAATTCCCATGACTCAAGCAGAAAGATTATTTTGTATTTGGATCACCAATGCAAAATGGAATGAAATTTCTAAGTACTGATCACATCAGGATGAGAGGGTATCAATGGGCTAGGGATTTAGCTCAGTGGTGCCACCGCTTGCCTCCGAAGCACAAGATCCCGAATTCAATCCCCAGTGCAAAAAAAAA